GCCTTGCCCGACGAGCGTCACGCCCAAGCCGACCGACAAGCCCACGGACAAGCCGACCGACAAGCCGACGGACAAGCCGACCGACAAGCCGACCGACAAGCCGACGGACAAGCCCACGGACAAGCCTACCGACAAGCCGACGGACAAGCCGACGCCCAAGCCCACGGACGCCGGCAAGGACTTGCGCTTCTGCTCGTACACGCGCCATGCGCTTTCGGAGTACTACGGCAACATTTACGCCGACACGATCCGCAACACGGACAACGAGCACTTTTTCTACAACGAGAAGACGCAGACGATCGTGGCCAAGTCCAACGGCCAGTGCCTCGACGCCTTCTTGAACGCGCAGAACCAGTACAAGCTGCACACGTACCCGTGCGGCGAGGGCAACCCGAACCAGAAGTGGGTCTTCAACACGCACAACAACGCGATTCAGCACGGCACGCACAAGGGCTTGTGTCTCTCGAACCGCGCCGACACGCCGGGGCAGCAGGCGTACGTCGAGCCGTGCAACGGCGGCCTCAACCAGTACTTTGCCAACTGCGACGACCCGTCCAAGGTCTCGGTGCAGTTCCAGACGTGCTACACGGACAAGTACCTCTCCGAGTGGAACACGGGCTTGTACGCGGACAAGAAGCGCAGCAACATCAACGAGCTCTTCGAGTACAACGGCGCGACGCAGCAGATCAAGGTGCTCTCGAACGGCCAGTGCCTCGACTCGTTCTTCCAGAACGGCAAGTACGGCTTGCACACGTTCCCTTGCGACGCGGGCAACGCCAACCAAAAGTGGAACCTCGACGGCAAGCGCGTCACGCACGCGGTGCACACCAACTTGTGCTTGGACGCCGACCCGACGGACGACGGCCACAAGGCGCAGGTCTGGGAGTGCACGCCGTACAACAAGAACCAGTGCTGGAACATCATCCGTTTCTACTAAGCGCGCGTGTGCGCGAGGACGGTGAACGAAGCCACTAATGTGTTGTTGCTCCTACTACATGTCTAAGACCAATGAATGTCATGACCAATGGATGTTGTATGCTTGAGTTTCTCTTTTGCTCGATTCATTTTTGTCATCCTTCGTCAGCGCCACGGTCCTCGCTTAGTTGGAATTGTAGTATGTTCCGGTATCCGAGCATGCGCCGATGGACGTCATGACCCTGCATCTTCTTCACCGTTGCGTTCGTATCCTCACACCATGAGGGTTATTGCCTTGCTATGCGCCTTTTCATGGCCCTGTCTGTGCGCTGTTCGAGCGCGTTCGCGACGTCACCGCGAACGGACCAGCGACTTGCCTTCCGTACCTTAATGGAATCGATATTTCGATGTCGACCTCACCGTGCTGCCAACGATGACGCTTCAGCATTACAAAGCAATTGAGAGCGCACTTTGTGGTGGCGGTGAATCTGGTTTTAACCGTCCGGATGCATGCCCTCCCTCCCCTCGTGCCAACGGTCGCTGCTTCACCACCGCTCCACAAATGTCATCGCCACACCAGCCCCGTAGCTTGCAAGGTTCACCACCAGATTCTGGCTCAACGGTATACGAGAAATGCCCTATCTCCACGTCTAGTCATGTTTATAAACACGAACACATCGGTATCGCATCCCGTCGACAATTGCGGCACAAGACGAGCGCCAACAATTGCTGCTGCGAAATGGAAACGAGTCCCCTTTTGTACAATAGACACACGACGGGAACCAACGCCGAGCGCAGCGTCTTAACGAAAGAGAGTGCGTGTGACTCTCTTTCGGTAAGACGTTGACCTCTCCTCTCGACCAGCCCGCAACCAACGACCGACGACGCTTGATCGCGGCTTCGACGACGAAAGCTTCGCTGCAGACCAGACGCAGAAACAACGAAACGACGGCTGCAAGAACGGACGCCACCGTCGCATCGTCGCGCCTGGAGCGAACAACGGACCAGGTTGGTTGGCGTGGAAGTTTTATTCCTCAATCAAGACCGCCATGCAGTGGTGGGCGATGCGGGTGAGCTAGTTAGCTGACACTACCCATTTGGAAATGGCTTGAGCTGCTTGCTCTGCGCTTGGATCTTGTAACGGCTCAATGTACGTAAAATGGGGATCTGAAATTTTACGTACACAGGATACAAAAAGAGAGGTAAAAGAAGATGGAGGTTATCCTGTGCAATAAAAACGCGGTGGTGCGGCCCAGTTCGCGGCCTGTGATACCGGCGATGCATTTCCACCAATCATATACCGGAATCATCGAAAAGCCGTGGATTTTGTGCATTTCGGCCAGTAGTGGCGTTAAGGTCTATAAGAAAAGGTTCTAATTGGCTAAAACTAGTGATGGCGTCAAGTGGGCGCGACAGAGCTTGCAACAGATGGCACGATAGAGCCCCTGGCCTGTAGCCAATCGATCGCGACCATGATGCTCCTAGCTGGGATGCGCGTCGCGACCAAGCGATCACACAGCGACGGGCCGCGCGTCGTCGACAAGAGCAATGTCAACAGGTGTGGCGCGTGCTTCAACCCAAAGCGGCACAAGTCGTACAGCGATCCGGCGCTCAGATACCAGTACACATCTAAAGGCGCATGGGATGCGAGCTTGTCCGCGACCATCGACATGTGTAGGCTTGCCGCCGCCACCACTATTGCATCCATGACTGAACAAGGCGCAGTCCTTCGCAATGTACCTCAAGGTGTTGACGTCGCGGAACCAGACGCTCCACGGGCGCAAGACCAAGGTCCCAACGCCGTGGAGGCTGCCGAGCCTCGCTCATCCCCACGTGCATCTCCAAGCCAACTGTCTTTTGCACCCCCGATAAGTAAGCACCAACAGCTCGTCTTTGCATATTCTCATCTATGGACAGCATCTCGGCGACGTCGCGCTCTACGACCGCTGCGACAGCGCCCCGCTGAGCGAGATCATTGCCCGCCAGCGCTAGTGCCTGCTGGGCCACGTGCTGCGCATGAGTGAAGACGTCTCAGCCAGCATTGCCGCCGCCCGCCTCTTTGCCGCTCCCGAGGCGCCCCGTTATTTAGGCCGCACTAAGATCACATTGCCAATCGTCCTGCACCGCGACCTCCAGTCGTTGACGCTGCCTCAGTCGATGGCGTCTCTTGAGGACCTCGACAAACTGCGTAGCTTTGCCGCCGACGGCAAAGGCTGGAAGGCCTTCACACAGCGTGTCGTCATGGGCCTTACCCGCGGCCGCAAGCCCCCCGGGCGACTAACAGAAGAGCAAGACGAGCCCCGCGCCGCCGCCTGCGCAGCCACAGCCCGTCGAGCAAATGAAGAAGAAGGGAAGTGCTAGTCTCTACGTACCGGTATGCGAACTCTTTGTAACAACGAGGATAACGCGAAACACGTTCATATATATGGACAGCATCAATGAAGTAGAGGACGCGGATGCCGCGCCCGTCGACTGTCCATTTCTACAGCATGAATGGAAAAAACGTCAGTACGGGGGCTGTGTCATGAACGCGCGCCTCGGCAACTTTTGCTTCCGCCACGGCGCCAGCAACACGAAGCAGTGCATCGAGGAAGGATGTACCAAGATGGCGCACGCCAAGCAAAAGTGCGTCCGCCACGGCAGCGGCTGCAAGTGCCGTGTCGAAAGCTGCAAGGC